ACACACACACACACTCTCTCACACACACACTCACACACACACTCTCTCACACACACACTCACACACACACTCTCTCACACACACACTCTCACACACACACACTCTCACACACACAAACACTCACACACACAAACACTCACACACACTTCTAAAGTTACATAAAATGGTAGATTTGTCTAATTTGAATTTAAAAAGTAAGACTGATTACCTGGTTAACTGCTAGTTGGTCAAACTAGTTCTTAAGACACAGTCTTAACATAGTGGCTATGTTTATGCAACTGGCCCTAGTTCAGTAAACCTTCACAGAAGTTAACAGAAGAAGGCTATTATAAAATGTCAGTGTCTTGATTTTGTTTAAATTAGTATTTTGCAGTTAAAAAATGTATTGTAATAATTAACCAAAACGTTACAGCAGTGGGTGAGTAGCTGACAGATGTGGCTTTATTGTATTAAAATCTTGGCTTTTCAATACAAACGGTCTCTGAGAAACTGAAGGAAATCCTCCCCCTAGTAGAAATTTTTTCTTCTTCTTTTTTTTTGTATCGAGATATTGATTGATTTATTCTAATAAGGACTTTGACATAATGCAAAGTGTAATATCAATGGCAAATCATCCTGTAGTAGAAAACCAGCTCAAATCCCCATATAATCTGAACTCTTTTCATATGGGTGATGCTGGTGTAACTGGTTAAGCTGGTTACTGGATACAGTATTGACCAGTGCAGCCATGATGAGTGACTAACATTCATCAGCTGTGATGTATGTAGTATGCAGTACGTAGTATGCATTATGAAGTATTCAGTATGAAGTATGCACTATTCACTATTCAGTAAGTATTATGCAGTATGTACAATATGCAGTACGTAGTATGCATTATGAAGTATGCACTATTCAGTATGAAGTATGCACTATTCAGTAAGTATTATGCAGTATGTAGTATGCATTATGAAGTATTCAGTATGAAGTATGCACTATTCAGTATGTAGTATGAAGTATGCACTATTCAGTATGTAGTATGAAGTATGCACTATTCAGTAAGTATTATGCAGTATGAAGTATGCAGTCTGTACCCGTGCTGCTGGCAGCGGTGACGCTCTGTAAGCCGCTCTCGAGCGCCGTGACTCTGCTCTTCATCGCGTCGAGCTGCGCGTCTCTCTGGCGGATCTGCAGCCGCATCAGCATCAGCGCGTCCTCATGCAGCTGCAGGATCTCCGACACCGCGGCCTCCAGCACGCACTTCAGTCTGCTCTCAAACACGGCGCTGCTGCTCGACATCTTCCCTTCCGGACGCGTCCAGACCATCGCGCTCTCACTGTAGCTGCGGATGAAAACACTTCCGGCTTCAGCAGCAGCGACCGTAAACACCGCAAGAGAAGAGCGGCAGCAAACAGTGCACTTAACAAGGTTAACACAAAATTTAGTGGTCCTCAAAATCTCAGAAGAATAATCACCGACCAATCAGAGTGATGGTAATTATTTTCTTTTCTATATATAATTATTATAAATTATTTCATTATAATTCATTAGGTACATGATATGTTTTACAAGTTACAAATATAGTAAAACAATTAATTCAAAAATAAGATTGATTCAATTAATTCAAAAATAAAAAAAAATAATTTTATATATATATATAAGGTAAATGATATGTTCTAGAAGTGACAGATACAGTAAAACAATTAAAAAATAAGATTGGAAAAAAGAAACGTATTTTAAAAAGTTA